GGGCAGGGACCATGTCTATTTATTCATTGCTGTATCCCCAGCACCTAGCACCAAGATTGCAGGGTCCACAGCAAATAATTGTTGAATTCAAAGAAATGAATGAACAACATACGAGGTAGGTCTCATTACCTCCAATTTAGAAGGACAAAAGGAGGCTCAGTGGGTTTGAATAAATTATGCCTATTTAAAAACTATTCAGTGTCACAGTGAAGGTTAAGACTCAGGTGGCCATTCTCCATTACACCACAAGGGCACCTGCAGGGAGAAGGTGATATTCAAGTTTTATTAAATTTAGGAGCGTCGTCTGAGGGAGTGGCCTGTATTTACCATCATTATGGCCCTCACTAGCCTTTTACAAGTACCCCAATAACTCCCAGAATTTGAGCTGCTGAGTCTCAAGACCCAAACATGCTTGGCAGTCACTGCCGATCACCACTGAGCACTTACCATGTTCAGAGTCTTGAGGAAAACGAGAGGATGTGGCCCCGTGGCAATCAGGAGAGATACAGATTCATCAGCTGTCGGCTGAGGGCTTCCTGGGGCCTGGGAGCTGTGCTAGACGCTGGGATCATAGCAGAAATACCTAGACAAGGTTCCCTCCCTCTTGGAAGCCCAAGTCTGGTAGGAAAGGCTTAAGGTGAACAAATGATCATAATTAGTATCTAACTGCAACTGGGAAAAGTGTCAAGAAGAAGCACAAAGTGACATGACACCATGTGGCAGTACTTGGAGAGTTGAGTTCAAGAAATATTCCTGGGTGGAGTCACATTTAAGCCAAGGCTTGAAATATCAGCAGAGTTTGGACAGGGGAGGAGGGAGACGAAGAGCAGGCCACGAGGAGGAAGGAAGGCATGTGCAAAGGCCCTGAAGTAGGAAGGAGAGTGTGATGAGAGAGCTGTTGGAGATGAGTCGGGAGAGGTGGGCAGTGGCAGCCTGTGCCAGGTTGTGGAGGCTGCTGAGAATCTTGCTCCCTACCCCAAGGGCAGTGGGAAGCCCTGCAGTGTTTACAAGGCCAAGTGAGGGGCCAACCCAGAGCGGGTCAGGATGCACTTCCTCCCTCAGAGGGCTCCTGCTGGCCAGAAAACCGAGCAGGGTCCTCCTTCTCTCCCTCTTCAAATGTGTTCTTCCTGTCCCCAGAGAGCACTGTCTGTCTTAGAGAGAGAGGCTGCAGATGGTCCCAGCACTTGGCTTTCCCCCCTTCCCAGGGACCCGTCGCTCCCAGTGTCCCCCCGCCCCGGGTGTCTGTGCCTTTAGCCACTTGCTTGTAAGTTTCCTAATATAGCCAGCGGTTTCCTCCCCAACTGGTGGCCAAGAGCTGCCCTCCTGTTGCAATCTTAGTTTTTCCTGGGCTTAAAGGGACCACGTCAGCCCATCTCACCCCAAATTTAAGCTAAAGGTAGATGGGTTGATTTTATTTCACAAACTTGTCCAACCAGAGATTAGATGTCTTCTCTCTCTCCCCAGTTTGCCATCATCCCTGCTCTATTCTTGTTCACTTTTCCACTTTACCCCCCATTTCTTCTGAGACAAGCGGAAGGCACACAGCTAGACATGGGTGTGAGGTTTGGCTCTGGTGGATTTATTAGCTGTGCCATCTTGGGTGAGTCTTACAGGAATCATTACGTACCTCTGCGGTCCTTTTCACAGAGCTCTTTCTGACAGATAGAGCAGAAAGGATGGAATAACAGTTACAGAAGGCATGCTGTCCATTATATACTCACTCACTCAACAAATATTCACTGAGTGCCCACTTGGTACTGTCCCAGACACTGAGGACACAGCAGTGAACAGAAAAGAAGACCTCATGCCTCCAGGGGACTTACATTCCAGTGCGGCTGGTCATTGAAGAGAGGGGAGCCCTGATGTCTCTTCCCCCTGGCTGCTCTTCTATACAGAGGGGCCTCAAGCACCAGGCACCCTCCCCAACAAACTAAAGCTGAATTTCTGGTGAGGCCTAGGAAATCTGTAGTCTATTTTCAGAGCTTTTAAAGTGGCAGCCAGGGCTGAGAACCTTGGGCTAAGAGCATGAGCTCTGGGTGTCAGAAAGAGTTACGTTTTGGATCCTGATTTCTCAGCTCTTAGACCTCTCCTGTGTACCAGCAGCACCATGAGACCCGCCTCACAGGATCTGAGAGGTTTAAGTGAGCCCTCGACACTGTGCATGGTCCTCGATGGGGCTCTTCATGGCAAAAGGCTGGGATTGGGTAGGAGTGGGGGCCTGAGCTGGAGCAGCCTGTGCTGGGAGGGACCAGGCAGTGTGGAGTCACGTGGACATGCTGTCCCTCCCCTCCAGAGTCACAGTGCCCCAATTTCTAGAAGCCCTACATCTCAAAGTTAGGTCAACCCTCAGTGAGCTTCGTGTCCAACACATCATTGACTGATAGGGCAATGGAGGCCTTAAGAAGGGAAGAGAGCTGCTCAAGGTCACACAATGAGATGGAGTTTCTGGACAGGGTCAGCCAATCAGTCAGCAAATGTTTGTGGAGCACCTTTCTCTGCCAGGCACTGTTCCAGGTGCTGGGGATACATCGGAGAACAAAGCAGGAGAGATCCCTGCCCTCACGGAGCTTCCATTTTAACAGGAAGAGAAAAGCAATAAAGATAACAAATCCGTCATATGGTATGTTAGAAGGTGATAAATGCTAGAGAAAAAAAGTAAAAAGAGATTGGGGATGTCTGGGTGCTGTGGGGGTGCGGGCAGATTGCAGTTTTAAATAGGGTGGTCATTGAGCAAAGACTTGACGGTTATCTGGAGGAAAAGAGATCCAGGCAGAGGAACAGCCCGTGCAAAGGCCCCAGTGGGACATGCCTGTGCAGTTGACCTGGGGATTCCCTTACCTGGTTGGCTGTTTCAGTTCCCCAGCCATCCGGGGCAGGAGGATTTATTGAGAAGCAGGCCATTTGGGATTTTTTTTGGTTAACCAGGGGAAAGTATCAGCATGTGTTTAAAACAAAGGCTCTGGATCCCTCGTCCCCAACTCAGTGAACATTGTGTGCGGTACCGTTCTATATACTGGAGGCACGAAGGTGAAGGCAGAGAACTGGCTTTCAGTGGTGCTGCTGGGGTGAGAAAGACCGAGAAGGTGGAAGACGCGTGTGGGTGATGGGAGATGAGTTGGTGGTGGCTGTGTCACATCAGGGGGCATCCATCTCCAGGCTGACACATGGGGCTGTAGAGGGGAGGGGAAGGGGCTGAGGATGTATTTGGGGGGCAGGAAGGAGTCAGCAGGACATAGACGACAGTTATAAAAAGCAGATGATTCGATCACCCAGGGAGGATGGGGAGAAGGCTTTGGACAGAGGCCTGGGGAGCACAGCAGATCAGGATGGGGTGGAGCACGAAGACACTCTGTCAGCTTTGTATCGACCTCTTCATACAATTCAGGTGACCTCACACACTAGCACAACTTTGTAGAATCACATTATTACACACCTATCTTGTCTTTTTTGGTCTTTCAGAGATATTAGCTCATTTAAACCACAAACAACCCTATGAGGTAAGAGGCAATTATTATCTGTTGGACAGATGAGGAAGCTGAGGCACAGGGAGGTTAAGTCACTTGCCAAAGGTTACACTGCTAGTAATGGCAGAGGCAGGATTTGGACCCAGCAGTCTGGCTTCCGCTGTCTGCGCTCCTAACTGCTACTCTCGGCTGCCTTTTGTTCACATGGGGGCCCACTTGCAGAGCCTTCTGCTCAGGGGCTCCCGGGCTCACTCACGGACACGCAAGGTCTCCTGGTACTCACAACTATCCTGCATACGCATGGTCTCAGCTTCACTAACGCCCACCCATTTACCCGAGAGTGTCTCCTATTATGCTTTGTACTCAGATGACGTGAACACTCAGAACCTCTCACACCCATAATTTCACCTCCATAAGACCTTGGACACATCCTGCTGTAGACATACTGCATTGCACACTCATGATCTCATATAGTCACATGGTCTTGCACAAATACACACTCCCCCATGCTCTCCAACACAGTCCCCTGCTTTCCCAACATTCATATGACTGCAAACTCAGTCTTATTCATTCGTGAGCTTGGACATTCACATCAACGTGCACACTAGCACGACCACGCACGTTTACCTCACATACTGACTGAGCCTTGCTTGCTGTGCAACTTTCCAGTGGTGCTGCTGGGGTGAGAAAGACCAAGAAGGTGGAAGACGCGTGTGGGTGATGGGAGATGAGTTGGTGGTGGCTCTGTCACATCGGGGGGGCATCCATCTCCAGGCTGACACGTGGGGCTGTCCTTACACACCCAAGACCTCGAACGCTCTCATAAGCTTATGTTATGTCTCATTATGACGTGCACGTGATCTTGGTCACCCTCTGTGCATAGGCTTCCTTGTGCATTCAAGATTCGTCATGTTCCCACTCCCTTGCACACCCCCGCTAGTGCAAATATTCACATCACTGTACAAACTCAATGTCTTGCCTGCTCACTCGCACCTTCATTCTCTTGTGTGTGATTTAAAAGCTGGGCACACATTGAAATCCACACTCACAGTCTCACCTGCTCCTACAACTTCACACGTAAAATTGACCACCTCAGCCTTGCCTCATTTTCCACACTAAAGACCTCGGCATGTTTCCACCAACAGAAATCCTCACACCATGCAAACCCCTTCTGGCTTGGCCATTTGTGTCCCCGCACACTCGCTTAACCTCACTCCCAGGGCCTCACCTGCTTACACAACTTTGCACACTGACGCTCTGACTCACGCAACCTCACTATCTCCCACACTTGTGACCTTGCCATGTTTCCACGGATGGAAATACTCACACCATTGCTCCAACTCCTTCTGGCTTGTCCACTCACGTCCTCGCACGCTCGTGCCACCTCCCACCCTCAGAGCCTCGCCCGTTCTCATAACTTCGAACTCCGTGCCCCCCTGATGGCCTTGCCCACTCCTGCCCCGCCCACCCAGGTCGCTGCGCACACGCAGGGGCCCCGTCGTGCGCCCCACTGACGCGCCCTCTCCTCGCCCACAGGGACCTACCAAGGCCAGTTCACCAATGGCATGCGCCACGGCTACGGCGTGCGCCAGAGCGTGCCCTACGGGATGGCCGTGGTGGTGCGCTCGCCGCTGCGCACGTCGCTGTCGTCCCTGCGCAGCGAGCACAGC